TTTTTTTTTTATTTTAAAATTTTTTTTTTAAATCTATCCATTAGCAAAAACCTCTTCACCAAATTATGATGAGCAGGTTTAATTTATGATATGAAATTTATAATAATTAAAAAATAGATATAGAAAAAGAACAAATGTGTAGTGTAACATAAGTTCCATGACACATATATTTGCATTTAGGTTTGTGTAGGCGTAGGGAAGGACAAAAATATAAGTAAAAAGCTTTACAACTTAATTAATGTTGCATTTTCTTTTGAAGATTTCAACTGCATTATGTTCATTAATGATCTTCTTATTTCTTTTGTTGTCACATAATCTACCCTATTAATTGAGTTAGCAGTTTTGCATTTACTTTTTTTTTTTTGGGTGAACGCCGGTGTTCAGGTCAATTTATGCATACCTCAACTAATCTTTGGAGTTCATTGAACATTCTACAAGTGTAAAAAACTAAATAAGTCATAATGTTATTGTGGTAGATGACCCCAAAGTCTGAATCCAGGAACTCAAGGAAGGGACCAAATCTCCTCGATCGTCAGGCCAACTCTTTAGGGTTTTTTTGCGTTTACTTTTTCATACATATACATATTTTATATATGGTACGTATTATTGCACTATTAAAAAGGGGCAGATGATTGAACACAAATTAAACATTCATCTTGCTAATTTTACACAATAACATGGATTAAAAGAAGGTTAAATAAAATGCTACATCCATCTTGTTTTGATACAATTATATTTATTTACTTGTTTTTTGCTCTGATAAATTTATTAGATACAACAATTACACCTTATTATTATTATTATTATTATTTATCTTTTTTAGATAAAACAATTACACCTTAATTTTTTTTATTTTTTTTTGGTAATCGAGGTGTCTATGCCAGCTTGCGTGTACTTCAACTAATAATTGCAGTTTATTGAACGCCCTATAAGCCCAAAGAATCAAGTAAGTCACAATGTTATAGTGATAGGTGACCCCAAGTTTGAATCTAAGAACTCGAGTAAATGACTTTTTCTCGCCCAAGATTTGCTTTAACAACACTTTCCTACCCAAAAAGTTTCAACATACCACTTTCTCACTCAATGTTTATATTTTATTATTATCGAAAGCCGATTCTAACAACAAAAATTCTCTCTGTAACCACCATTTAAACCTTCAATCTTCTTTCTACAAATCCCGTCTCACTCCAACTCCTAATTTCTCGTCGATTGTAGGTCATTGCAAAGATAGGATTTTATTTTTTTAGTTGATTTTCGACGGCGAATTTTCAATCAATCACTATCATTTGATCCATCGACCTCCACTCTACAAAATCCCTCTTATTTTGACTCATGGTAACTCATCAAATATCTGCTAAGAAAGTAAAATGTATGTTCGGTATTAACAGAATATAAATTTTGGGTGGAAAATTTGTATTTTTAAGCTTTTTTAATAAAAAAAAATGTCATTAAAGCAAACTTTGGGTGGAAAAAAGTCGTTTACTCCCAAGAACTCAAGGAATGAGTAAACCTCCTTGATTGTCATGCCAACACCTTGGGGGTTATTACGCCTTAAATTCATTAGCTTAAATTTCTCTTAGCGGGTCATTATCTATTTTATTTTGAAAACTACATCCTCCTTCTATATACTAAAGCTAAACCCATTTAGATTGAATAGAGCAAGTAACATGGGATTGTCACAATAATTGTATAAAAAAACAATATTTTACAAATAATTAAGTAGATATTAAAAGCCTGTCATCAATTATATATTATTATAATAAATCTAATTGTATTAAGAAATTCTGCAAAGGTATAGGCAACATGGAGGCAAGATCTTCTAATTTAAACTGCTTATGATTATGTATAATTAAACACCCACATCTAGATGGACTTGACTGCCCTTTATAACGCTTTCCCCAAATCCTATACATTAAATTATTATTTAGGATAATATTAGTTTATACTTGATATATCATAATCAAACTATCTTCAACAAGAAAACTTCTAAAATGACCCATTGGAATTATTGTTCTTCCATGCTACCACACCTTTCTACCCACAAAAAATATCCAATCCAAACCGTCCGATAAGTTTAACTGATAGGAGAAATGCAATTTTCACCTGGCCCCACCGTAATGGCAAATATATTAGTACTCATCAGAGGAGGGGTATTTTCGTCAATCAACGTAAACTGTATTTCAGGCATTTAATAATTAAAACGAAAACCTCCCATTCGCTGACAGAACCTGTATAGCAGGTGACTCCGCCACGTCGAATACCCAATCCATTATCTCCACGTCACCGCACCCAATCAAACGGCTCTGCTTCCTTCACCGCTCCTTGAATCCAGCGGCTCTCATGTCGTGTTCTAGAGCCTTCGATACAAAATTCACAATCCAACCGAGACAAAGAAAGGGAAAGGGCGAGAGAGAGAGTTCTCCTTCTAACTAACCAGGGTTAGTTTTTTAACCCGACTTCACGCGTTAAGTTGTAGTACGTCCTGAGAGACACAACAGCAAACAAGGTTTATTGTGTGTGGTAATATAAAAATTGCATGATTTATTTGTTAAAGAAAATTTAACAAATGATGTACTTAAAAGTTAAAAGTGGATGTTGATTTTTTTTTTTTTATTTTAAAATTTTTTTTTTAAATCTATCCATTAGCAAAAACCTCTTCACCAAATTATGATGAGCAGGTTTAATTTATGATATGAAATTTATAATAATTAAAAAATAGATATAGAAAAAGAACAAATGTGTAGTGTAACATAAGTTCCATGACACATATATTTGCATTTAGGTTTGTGTAGGCGTAGGGAAGGACAAAAATATAAGTAAAAAGCTTTACAACTTAATTAATGTTGCATTTTCTTTTGAAGATTTCAACTGCATTATGTTCATTAATGATCTTCTTATTTCTTTTGTTGTCACATAATCTACCCTATTAATTGAGTTAGCAGTTTTGCATTTACTTTTTTTTTTTTGGGTGAACGCCGGTGTTCAGGTCAATTTATGCATACCTCAACTAATCTTTGGAGTTCATTGAACATTCTACAAGTGTAAAAAACTAAATAAGTCATAATGTTATTGTGGTAGATGACCCCAAAGTCTGAATCCAGGAACTCAAGGAAGGGACCAAATCTCCTCGATCGTCAGGCCAACTCTTTAGGGTTTTTTTGCGTTTACTTTTTCATACATATACATATTTTATATATGGTACGTATTATTGCACTATTAAAAAGGGGCAGATGATTGAACACAAATTAAACATTCATCTTGCTAATTTTACACAATAACATGGATTAAAAGAAGGTTAAATAAAATGCTACATCCATCTTGTTTTGATACAATTATATTTATTTACTTGTTTTTTGCTCTGATAAATTTATTAGATACAACAATTACACCTTATTATTATTATTATTATTATTTATCTTTTTTAGATAAAACAATTACACCTTAATTTTTTTTATTTTTTTTTGGTAATCGAGGTGTCTATGCCAGCTTGCGTGTACTTCAACTAATAATTGCAGTTTATTGAACGCCCTATAAGCCCAAAGAATCAAGTAAGTCACAATGTTATAGTGATAGGTGACCCCAAGTTTGAATCTAAGAACTCGAGTAAATGACTTTTTCTCGCCCAAGATTTGCTTTAACAACACTTTCCTACCCAAAAAGTTTCAACATACCACTTTCTCACTCAATGTTTATATTTTATTATTATCGAAAGCCGATTCTAACAACAAAAATTCTCTCTGTAACCACCATTTAAACCTTCAATCTTCTTTCTACAAATCCCGTCTCACTCCAACTCCTAATTTCTCGTCGATTGTAGGTCATTGCAAAGATAGGATTTTATTTTTTTAGTTGATTTTCGACGGCGAATTTTCAATCAATCACTATCATTTGATCCATCGACCTCCACTCTACAAAATCCCTCTTATTTTGACTCATGGTAACTCATCAAATATCTGCTAAGAAAGTAAAATGTATGTTCGGTATTAACAGAATATAAATTTTGGGTGGAAAATTTGTATTTTTAAGCTTTTTTAATAAAAAAAAATGTCATTAAAGCAAACTTTGGGTGGAAAAAAGTCGTTTACTCCCAAGAACTCAAGGAATGAGTAAACCTCCTTGATTGTCATGCCAACACCTTGGGGGTTATTACGCCTTAAATTCATTAGCTTAAATTTCTCTTAGCGGGTCATTATCTATTTTATTTTGAAAACTACATCCTCCTTCTATATACTAAAGCTAAACCCATTTAGATTGAATAGAGCAAGTAACATGGGATTGTCACAATAATTGTATAAAAAAACAATATTTTACAAATAATTAAGTAGATATTAAAAGCCTGTCATCAATTATATATTATTATAATAAATCTAATTGTATTAAGAAATTCTGCAAAGGTATAGGCAACATGGAGGCAAGATCTTCTAATTTAAACTGCTTATGATTATGTATAATTAAACACCCACATCTAGATGGACTTGACTGCCCTTTATAACGCTTTCCCCAAATCCTATACATTAAATTATTATTTAGGATAATATTAGTTTATACTTGATATATCATAATCAAACTATCTTCAACAAGAAAACTTCTAAAATGACCCATTGGAATTATTGTTCTTCCATGCTACCACACCTTTCTACCCACAAAAAATATCCAATCCAAACCGTCCGATAAGTTTAACTGATAGGAGAAATGCAATTTTCACCTGGCCCCACCGTAATGGCAAATATATTAGTACTCATCAGAGGAGGGGTATTTTCGTCAATCAACGTAAACTGTATTTCAGGCATTTAATAATTAAAACGAAAACCTCCCATTCGCTGACAGAACCTGTATAGCAGGTGACTCCGCCACGTCGAATACCCAATCCATTATCTCCACGTCACCGCACCCAATCAAACGGCTCTGCTTCCTTCACCGCTCCTTGAATCCAGCGGCTCTCATGTCGTGTTCTAGAGCCTTCGATACAAAATTCACAATCCAACCGAGACAAAGAAAGGGAAAGGGCGAGAGAGAGAGTTCTCCTTCTAACTAACCAGGGTTAGTTTTTTAACCCGACTTCACGCGTTAAGTTGTAGTACGTCCTGAGAGACACAACAGCAAACAAGGTTTATTGTGTGTGGCCTGCGAGAACAATTCACTGAGTCAACTCGGAACCATTCCTTGCCGCCCTTTAAACTTTCCCTTTCATTTCATCTTCACTTGGCACCTTTCATTCTCTGTCTCTCTATGCTTTTTAATTAGTCAATCACTGCGTTATTGCCGTTCTTGTTTTTCGAGGAGTTCGAGATTGTCTGGTCCGGTCAGATCTCGGAACCTGGTAAATCACTTTTGATGTCAAATGCCGGTTTTTAACTTCGATTTGATTTAAGGTTGTTCCAATTCGGATTGTTACATTTTCAAGTTTTAATTTTCTTATTTCAATTAGTTTTAGTTAAAAAGCTTATGTGGAAGTCTAATAATGCAGTAAGGTTTAAGAAAATGTTGCTTACGGAGGTCGAAAATGTTTTAGATTTTTTGAATGTTGAATAATGGTGTAATGTTCGCTGCTTTCATCTTGTTTTAAATCTAGATCCACTCGCGCTGATTATTTTTATCTTCTTTGGCTTTGAGTTTTACTTAAGCAGGAAGAAAACAATGTTTTATTTTTATTTTTATATTAAATAAATTATTTCGCTTAATTAACAACCCTTTAGCTTAACGCCTTTTGTTCTGGTATCTATTTGGTATTTGTTGTCATACAATCATTCTTAAGTCAGTTGGCTATCCTATCTGGTATTTGTTTCTAATATCTAATTATATTGCTGTTTTTTGTTTCAGATTCTTGACTCTTGAGCGGCTTCGGATAATGGCTTTTTTAATGTAGCATAGGGTGTTTTATTAGTTGCTCTGTTTCTGGTTTCTGTTTTAAGCTTTCGGCCTTTTAGAGTTTTGGGATGGGATCTATCTGAGTTCATCAATTGATGATAATTTGGGGATTATTTTCATTAATTAAATATCGATTAGTGTCTGGTTCAGAGCTTGGCGCCTTCTTGGGAGGTAAGGAAGAAACTCTCTTCCACAGCCGCCTTTGTTGCCGGCCAAGAAAATAGTGGTTTGTTTTTCCATTTCATGTCTCGTAAGTTAGACAGCCCAGTTCAAACTCAGATGGCAGTGGCAGTCTTTAAAACTCCGCTCCGCGGAGAATACCACGGGAACAAGAGAATGGAAGGGAAACAGCCTGCGGGGAGGAGACGAGTTTTCGTTCAAACAGAGACTGGTTGTGTATTAGGGATGGAGTTGGATCGCGGAGACAATGCTCATACTGTGAAACGAAGGTTGCAGATTGCTCTCAATGTGCCTACTGAGGAGAGCTCACTGACTTTTGGGGATATGGTGTTAAAGAATGATCTTAGTGCGGTTAGAAATGATTCCCCACTTCTTTTGACAAGGAACATACTGCATAGGAGTTCATCCACTCCGTGCCTTTCGCCTAGGGGAAATGATATCCAGCAAAAGGATAAGAGTGGTCCTATTGAGATACTGGGCCAGTCTGATTGCTTTTGTATTACCCAACAATTGGTAAGGGACATTGTGAAGGCAATTAAGATGGGTGTTGATCCTATTCCTGTTCATAGTGGGCTTGGAGGTGCATATTATTTTAGGAACAGCAGAGGTGAGAATGTTGCCATTGTGAAACCAACAGATGAAGAACCTTTTGCACCCAACAATCCCAAGGGCTTTGTTGGTAAAGCTCTTGGGCAACCAGGATTGAAACGTTCGGTGCGGGTTGGGGAAACAGGGATCAGAGAGGTAGCTGCTTACCTTCTTGATTATGATCACTTTGCAAATGTGCCTCCCACTGCCCTGGTGAAGATCACACACTCAATCTTCAATGTCAATGATGGGGTAAATGGGAACAAGGCTCACAAAAAGAATCTGGTTAGTAAGATTGCATCTTTCCAGCAGTTCATAAAGCATAATTTTGATGCAAGTGATCATGGGACATCAAGCTTCCCAGTTTCTGCGGTGCATCGCATAGGGATATTAGATGTTAGAATTTTTAACACTGATAGACATGCGGGAAACCTTTTAGTGAGGAAGCTTGATGGTGTTGGGAACTTTGGTCACGTGGAGCTCATTCCAATTGACCATGGCCTAAGCTTGCCAGAAACTTTGGAGGATCCCTACTTTGAGTGGATC